TTTTTTTTTGCTGCAGGGTGAAGTGCATCTGCAGCAGTTCACGCTACATCAGACCCCGATTCAAATTAGAGTGATGATTTCACACTCTGATTTGAGCATGGACAGGAAGGGGGAAGTGAGGTGCACGGAAGGTCAGAATAGGGAGGCAAAAGACTTTCATGAGAACAAAGAGTCAAATGTTTCTTCCTCTCTGATGTAACCGAGCGTCAATCCTACCACTGTGTCTTGGTCGTAAATTTCCACCACAATGATCGGGGGGTCGTCTCTGAGCTCGCCGGCTTCCCCAAAGAGCTCCACGTTGTCGAAAACCAGCAGCTGGTCCCAAGTGGGACACAGGGTCTCGCTCAGAACCTGCAGGACATGCTGTTGAGATTCCCCCGGGACACAGAAGTTCACAATTTACGACACCCGCAAAGGCTTTACCTCGGTGACCTGACTATGTGTGGAGAAAAAGACTCTGGCGAAAGGGTCGGAGAGGCCGCTGCTGTCGGCGGCGAACAGGCTTCGCGCTTGGTACATGTGCGCTCTCAGCTGGAAGACCTGTTTCACTGTTGGACGCAACAAAGGCGTCAGCTCAAAAAGCAGCCGAGTGAAAATCCGCGTGCGCACTTACTGTTATACACGAGGCTGACAGGGGGCACAGAGTGAAGAGAAGGAGCCGTTTTAGCAGCTTTGACCTCCTCAAAACCGTTGGGCAGACCACTCGTGAATTCTTTCCTTTGCTTATTGAGACCGAGCCACAGGTACAACTCCAGCTTAGCCTGAACGGTCCAACCGGCTGGGCCGAAACCCTTTTTCCCAGGCAGCTGTGGAGAGTCCCCCACCACGTGTAAAAAGCAAATGAACGATTAGTCTTCTTGCAGGCTCACTCACAAAGCATGTGTGCCGGCGACGACATACCTTGAGAAAGACAGCTTTGACTTTCCCGCAGTCTTTTCCCGTCTCCTCATCCACCACCGAGTAGAGGATGTCTTTGGATGGGACGCGGGCGTACGCGATACGTTTATGGTTGCTCATCATCCACACGAAAACATCCGGGATGCTGTGTTGTGGCTGGACAAGAAGCATATCGTGACTTTTTCGTGGGCTGGAGCAATTCCAGCCCACGAATGTATTCCAAATGTATTCGTTTGACAGTTGCCCCTGGCGAGTACGC